CACAGTATGATAACTAACTAGAATTTAAATCAAAACTTTAAAAAAATGCTTGGTGGAATTTTCCAGGACTTTTTGAATTTCTTTGGAAGCTTTTTGATTACAAATTTAGTTTCTCTAATTGTCTTATCTATTCGGTTTTTCTATTTATTTGCTAGTTAGATTTATTTTTACTTTTTTCTAAAAGTTCAGCTACAGGGGCACCTTGGTGGCTCAGTTAAGCATCTGCCTTCAGCTCAGGTCATTATCCTTGGGTCCTGGGATCAAGTCCTGCATCAGGCTCCCTGCTGAGTGGAGAGTGTGCTTCTTCCTCTACCACTCCTCCTTGCTCATGTTCTCACTCCCTCGCTCTCAAATAAATAAATAAATAAAATCTTAAAAAAATAAGATTCAGGTACAGATTTGTCAACTTCTGTTGATCTTTTCAGGGAGCCAACTTTTTTTGTTATTGTTGATTTTTCTCCATTGGACTACTATTCTCTATTCATTATTTCCTGCTCTACCCTGTATTACTTCCTTCTTTTCACTTGCTTTGAGTTTCGTTTGCTTTTCTTTTTCCAATGTCTAAAGGAGGAATGCTAAGTTATTGATTTGAAATATTTCTTCTTTTAAAATATAGGTATGTACAGCTATAAATTGCCCTCAAATACTGCTTTAGCTCCATCTCATAAATTTGGGTATGTTGTACCTTTATTTTCATTTGTCTTGAAACATTTTCTTTAAAGTATAGTTGATATACACTGTTACATAAGTTTCAGGTGTACATCATAGTGATTCCACATTATGCTATGTTCACCCAGGTGTAGCTACGATTTGTCATATTCCTTATGCTGTGCCTTTTATTCCTATGACTAATTTATTCCATAACTGGAAGTCTATATATTTCATCCATTTTGCCCATCCCCCACCTCCCGTCTCTCTAGCAACCATTAGTTTGTTCACTGTATTTGTAAGTCTGATTCTGCTTTTTGTTTGTTAATTCATTAGTTTTATTTTTTTAGATTCCACATATAAGGGAAATCATATGGTGTTTGTCTTTCTGTTTGACTTATTACATTTAGCATAATACCCTCTAGGTCCAACCATGTTGTCTCAAATGGCACGATCTCATTCTTTTTTATGACTTTGTAGTATTTCAGCATATCTGTGCATGTGTGTGTGTATGTGTACATACACATGTACATACATACCACAGCTTCCTTATCCATTTGTCTCCTAATGGACACTTAGGTTGCTTCCATATCTTGGCTATTTTAACTAATGCTGCAATAAATATAATGGTGTATATATCTTTTTGAATTTGTAAATATCTTCTCCCATTCATTGGGTTGCCTTTTTGTTTTGTTGGTGGTTTCTTTTACGGTGCAAAAGCTTTTAATTTGATGTAGTCCCAGTAGTTTATTTTTGCTTTTGTTTCCCTTGCCTTAGGAGACATACCTAGAAAAATTTTGCTGCAGTTGATGTTAGAGAAATTAGTGCCTAGAATTTTTATGGTTTCAGGGCTCACATTTGTGTCTTTAATCTATTTTGAGTTTATTTTTGTGTATGGTATTAGAAAGTCGTCCAGTTTCATTCTTTTACATGCAGCAGTTTAGTTTTCCAGCACCATTTATTGAAGAGACTATCTTTTCTCCATTGTATATTCCTGACTCCTTTGTAATATATTAATTGATCATATGTGTGTGGTTTCATTTCTGGGGTCTCTATTCTGTTCTATTGATTTATGTATCTGTTTCTCTATTTTTTTTTTTTTTTTTGCCAGTACCAAACTGTTTTGGTTGCTACAACTTTATTTTTTAAGATTTTATTTATTTATTTGAGAGAGAGAGAATGAGAACACAGTGAGGTGAGGGACAGAGGGAGAAGCAGATTCCCCGCTGAGCAGGGAGCCCAATGTGGGACTCAATCCTGGGACTCTAGGATCATTACCTGAGCTGAAGGCAGGCACTGACTGAGTCACCCAGGTGCCCTTATTATTCTAGCTTTGTAGTATAACTTGAAATCTGGGGTTGTGATACCTCCAGTTTTGTTTTTATTTCTCAAGATTTCCTTGACTATTTGAAATTTTTTGTGGTTCCATATAAATTTTAGAATAATTTGTTCTATTTTTGTTAAAAACCCCCACTATTGGTATTTTGATAGGGATCACATTGAATCTGTAGATTGCTTTGGGTAGTATGCACATTTTAATATTCTTATTTCATCTAATCAATGAGCATGAAATATCTTTCCATTTGTTTCTTCTTCAATTTCTTTCATCAGTGTTTTATAGTTTTCAAAGTACAGGTCTTTCATCTCTTTGAGTTTATTCCTATGTATTTTATTCTTTTTGGTGCAATTGCAAATGACGTTGTGTTCTTAATTTCTCTTTCTATTACTTTGTTATTAGTATATAGAATGTTACTGATTTCTGGGTATTAATTTTGTATCCTGCAACTTTACTGAATTCATTTTTTGCTCCTAGTAGTTTTTTGGTAGAGTCTAGGACTTTCTGTGTATAGTATCATGTTGTTCACAAATAGCAACATTTTAACTTCTTTACCAATATGGATGCCTCTTATTCATCTTGAAGTACTTTCTAATTTCTTATGTGATTTTGTTTGTTACTTATTAATGCTTTGGAATTATGTTGTTTACCATCCACATATTTTTGGTTTTCCAAATTATGCCTCTGTTAGTGATTTTAAGTTCATTCAGTTATTATTTGAGAACATATTTTGTATGAACTCACCACTTTTAAACTTATTTTAGTTTGTCTTATGGCCTATGATATTGTCTGTCCTAGAGAATTTTCCATGTGCACTTGAGAAGAATGTGCATTTTGTTGTTGGATATGTTTTCTAAATATTAAATATATTTGGTTTATGGTGTTCAAATCTTTTCTTTCTTTCTTGATTTCCTATCTAATTGTTCTATTCACTATTCATATTTGAGTTTTGAAACCTATTATTCCTGAAGTGTCTGTTTCTCCTTTCAAATCAGTCACTTTTTGCTTTTCATTTTTTGGAAGCTCTGTTATTGGGTGCATATATGTTTATACTTGTTATATCTTCCTAATGCAATGGTCCCATTTTCTCTTGTGACATTTTTTTGGTTTGTTTTAATATCTCTTTGGTCTGATATTAGTATAGCCACTCCAACATTCTTATGGCTATTGTTTGCATGACATATTTTTTTCCCATGCTTTCATATTTTCAGCCTATTTGTATCTTTGAATCTAAAGTATGTTAGTAAACCTGATTCGTACTTTGAATCTAAGTATGTTAGTAAGTTGGTGTAAAATTAAGTAAAATTATTTAAGTAAAATGTAAAAATAAGTAAAATTATTTGTATCACCTTTAACAGTGATAATGTTGTCTCTGATATATTGACGAGTTAATATTTGTTTAATACTTATAATCTCATACTGTTATTCTGGATAATGATGTTTTTGGAATATTAAGCAGGTATAGCCTCCCCTTTTCAGGAAGTTTAAATATGAGATAAAGGATTTATTGTCTAATTTATTCCTATTGGTCTGAGAAGTAGAGCAGATAAAATATGAGTTTATTCATTTTATAGGAAGAAATGTGTCTATAAACTTAAATTTGCACTTTTCTCTCATTTTTAACACTATAAATAATCTTAAATCCCAATGATGAATTTAATTTTAAATTTACTGATTCAAGCCACTACAAGTTTTTCCAATCATAATGGATAGGAAACAGCTTGAGGCTTCCAATTTTCATTGCTATATCTTCATTGAAATTGTGTTGAAGAGCAGAGAAAAAGTTTAGTTATTAAATATTCTCATTTACTTGATTTTAACATTATTTAGCACTCTTGTAAGATGATTGACATAGTTCATGTATGGATTGCAGGAAAGGAAAAACTACCTTCTGAAAATGATTGAAAAGCAGCTGGAATTAATGAAGAAGGAGGTGATTGAATGAGTGTATCAACCAGATGAAATATAGGCTTTTTTATGTATTCTGTGTGATGAAAGGATTAACAGAATTCAAGGTAGTGCAAAATAGAAACTCTATGATATAACAATGAGTGATAATAATGTTAATGATAGTGTTAGCAGATTTTTATAGGAGACTTATTGTTTGCCAGGCACTATTCTAGTATCTTTACATATAGGTCAGTGATTGGATTGTCAAATCAGACTGACTTTTATTTGAAGATGTTAATCAGTATTAAGCTTTACTTGTAATTTTAAGGATACAAGGAACTGAAAGTCACAGGAAAAGCAGACAGAGGTCCTGGACATTGAGAGAGGCCCCTATATTCTTTCTTCCCATGGTAGACAAAACTCTCCATCCCGGAGCAGTAGATATGATCTCTAATGATGTATATGGGTCACCTTGTACAATAGGGAATATTATAGGCTGTGAAATATTCCATTTTATACTCCGATAATTGCATAGATGATGTCTCTTATAAACCTATAGATTCTAGGTTTGTTTACCATAATGGTTCTAAAACAAGAGTATTCTGCTAAAAGTCTTCTATGGATGAGTACATTTTTTTTTTTTAAAGCTAATACCATTGGTATATTTGTCAGTAGCTAACGTGCTTATAAGGAGAGTAGACCAGGTCTTCTGCCCTCTTTTTTCTTGGGAGAGCCTCCTACCCAACAAGAAACAAAAACAAAGCAAAAGCAAACCTTTCTTTCATTTCCAATGAATTTCCTTATTTAAATTCAAATTCAATTATTTATTTTTTTCTGTTAAACTAGGTAAAATATATTAAGAAGGAACTTCAGGCATATTTAAAATATTCTATTTTATTTTATTTGGTTTGGTTTGGTCTGTAGGACATGGAGTGAGAGATACAGTAAATAGAAATATATCCTTACCAGCAGCAGATATCCACTGTAGCAGCTTGGTGTATTCCTTTTGTGTGTGTGCATGCACATGTCATCTACAATTCTTTCTTCTGTTTTCTCTTAGAATATTTGAGAAATCATATGATGGTTTCAATTTTCAATTTTCTCTGATTTTCTTTCCCCAACCCAGGATGGAGACCCAGTTCGTCCGGGAGTGGCCATGACTGATCTCGCTACTGGCCTGTATGCATATGGAGCCATTATGGCTGGATTGATACAAAGATACAAAACAGGGAAAGGACTGTTCATTGATTGTAACCTACTGTCATCTCAGGTACCAATCCAAAGAACATTTGAGATTATGGTGTAGGCATATGTCTGGGTTATACTCTTTCATATTGAATCCTATAGTCAAAAATCCCATCTGCAAAAAGAAAAATAAAAAACAAACCAGGAAAAAACCCACAAACAACAACAGCAAAAGCTGTTCAATTTTGGTATACTTAATTATTGTTAAGTTAAAATAAACAGACCGTGAAGATTTTGTTATATGTAGACATTGCCGTTGAATTAGAGTTTTAAAGACTTTATTAAAATGGGTCTATTACTATTTGTGAGAAAAGAGTACATTTGGTTCTATTTTATTGTCACATGAGCTCTGTAACTTCTTTTGACCAGGATTTCTTCATCTTTTATGTACTATGGGCCCTTTGAATAGTCTGGTGAAGGCTATTACCCTTTTTTCAGAATTTTGTTTTTAGATGCATAAAATGATATACTTATCATTACAAGGGAGCCAGTTATATTAAAATATGGTTATTTCTATATAAAAACCAGTTTTGTGTTGTAATAACACATGTGGTTTTTTACTAATACATTAAACCATATGATCTATTATCGTAACTATTGCAATTTTGAGATAATGTTGAACATAAATGATGTTTTAAGATATTTGCAATATCTAGAATATGATATGAAAATATGGATAGTTTATTGGTAACCAAGCCATAGGAACTACTAACACTCCTGGAGTTTGTTGCCTACATTCATAATTGAAGAAAATGATAAATTTTGTTAGAAGTTGGATGGACATAGAGATATAATTTTTTTTCCATTCAAATTAATTACTTCCCAGAATTCTTTCCACGGACTCCAGGTTAGAATCCCTGGTTTAGAGAGTTATCAGTTATGTCATGCTAAAAACTAACCTGGTGGAATTAAAAGGCTAACTAGCTCTAAAATTGACATTTTGTCTCCTTTTTATTGGAGCAGACCTAGATGCCTATTCAGAACTGATCAATTTTCAGGAATAGAAAAAAAGAAAATACCAAATTTACGTAAGGAGATATTTTACTATGGGAAAAATTACTTTATAGATGGAAACCTCAGTTAGGAATTTCAGATTTAAATGGCATACATGGGAGACTAGTAAACTTGGAAATCTGCTTGGAGATTTGTTCTCATAGACAAAATTAAGGAGTTGTCTAGAGGTTAGAAAAAACATCAAAATGGTTGAAGGTAAAATACTACATATGGGGTTTCAACATAGCTTTGAGTCACAGTGAGCATTTTAATGGTTATATAAAAGGGTAAAATAATTCTCTCCAAATGAATGAACTGCCTTCTAAATAGAGAAACACAGATGTTGGTTATGGAAAGAAGCTGAAAGCCTTTTCCTCCTTCCTCTAATTTTATATCTGTAAGGAACCTGAGGCAGGGTACGTTAACTGGCTACAAGTTACACATTCAATAATGTTGGAAGCCAGGAAGGCTTCAAGGGATTTGACTGTGCAGTCACAGAGGGTCCTAGGCTTAGTTTAAATACTCTGTTATCATTGCCATGAGATTCTTAATTATTTTTGAACGACAGACCTTACATTTTTTTCACTTTGCACCAGTACTTGCAAATTATGTGGCTGGTCCTGGATTTGGGACTCTATTTATTTTTTTTTAAATTTTTTAAAATTTTATTTATTTATTTGACAGAGATCACAAGTACGCGGAGAGGCAGGCAGAGAGGGAGGAAGGGAAGCAGGCTCCTGGCCAAGCAGAGAGCCCGATGCGGGGCTCGATCCCAGGACCCTGGGATCATGACCTGAGCCGAAGGCAGAGGCTTTAACCCACTGAGCCACCCAGGCACCCCGGGACTCTATTTAAATCTCCTGATCTTTACCTCGTCTGCTTTACTTACATGTCAATGATTAATTAGCTTTGGAAGAAATTCTCTTGTAGCGTATGGTAGAATTTAATTCTCTTCCAGCACCTAGCACAGTGATTCATGGTGTGGAGGTGTGTGGTTCCCTGGGGATGGGAGTGGAAGAGGGGGTTTGATATCACCAGTAGGGCTGTTTCAAAGTGAAGGTACAGGAAGTGCAAACTCATGCATGCATACCTACATACACTGCTTTCCAGTCATTTTGGGTATGTATGTGTGTTTGTTGCTCATGTTGTCCCCTGAGCCTGTAAGTCCCATAAGTGCAGGAATAATGTTTGTTCCTGCTTACAGTGGTATCCTCAAAGCCCAGCCCAGTACTCATCAAATAGCGGGCTCTTCCAATCTTTTGAGATCAATAGGACACCCACTGTTACAGCGGGTATGTCTCATGGCCCTTAGGTTTGATAGGAAAGTTAGAAAAACGTAGAAAACCATAGATTAGGATAAGCACTTGATAAACAACTAATGATGAGATGATTTGCTTTTAGCAAACTCGGTAGGAGGGATTTAGCCCATTTGCTGTAGCCGATCCAGTCCAAGGTTGCTAAAGTTATTAGTGTGTTTTAGACTCATTAACTACCTTTTTAAAATCGAGGTAAAGCTGACATAAACCATTATATAAACCAATATGATGATTTAATATTTGTGTATATTGCAAAATGATCACCACAATAAGTTTGGTTAACATCCATCCTGATACATAGTTGCGGTCTCTTTTTCCCACAGTATTATTAGCTATAGTCACCATGCTGTACATTACATCCCTGTGACTTATTTATTTTATAACTGGAAATTTGTACCATCTGACCCCCTTCACCTATTTTACCAGCCCTTTGCCTCTTGCAGCCACTGATCTGTTCTCTGTATCTATGAGCTCAGTTTTTTTTTTAAGTAAAAAAAAAATTTCTTCTAGATTCCACATATAAGCAAGATTGTATTTCTCTGATTGGCTTCTTTTACTTAGCATAATGCCCTCAAGGTCCATCCGTGTTGTTACAAATGGCAAGATTTCCTTCTTTTTTTGATTCCTGAATAACATTCCATTCTGTGTGTATATATGTACAACTTTTTTTTTAATCCATTCATCCATTTTTTTTTTAAGATTTTATTTATCTAATTGTCAGAGAGAGGGAGAGAGCACAAGCAGGGAGAGCAGCAGGCAGAGCAGGCAGAGGGAGAAGCAGGCTCCCATTGAGCAAGGAGCCTGATGTGGGACTCGATCCCAAGACTCTGGGATCATGACCTGAGCCGAAGGCAGCCACTTAACCAACTGAGCCACCCAGGTGTCCCTATCCATTCATCCATTGATGAACACTTAGATTGTTTCCATATCTTGGCCATTGTCATTACCTTTCAACAATAAAAATCAATTAAGTCTTATTTTAAAGCCATGGATTTTCAGATCTAATGTTTTATATGATCTTCATAAGAATCACTTGAGGTAGGTAGGGCAGGAATTTTTTAAAAGATTTTATTTATTTATTTATTTGAGAGAGAACACAAGAGTGAGAGAGGGGTGAAGGGCAGAGTGGGAGGAAGAGGGAAAAGAATCCCATGGAGACTCCATTCTGAGTGCAAGTCTGGACTCCCATCTCACAATCCCAAGATCATGATCTGAGCTGGAACCAAGAGTTCAATGCTCCACTGGCACCCGGGTGTATAGGGCAGGACTTTTTATTCCTATTTTACTTGGAAAGAAACTGAAGCTAGGAGATGTTGATCTGCTTGACCAACAGAGTCACAGCAAGAATTTTGGTTTCTCTTTCCCCTACACAATAAAGACAAAAGCTTTGGCACCGAGGGACAGGCAAGAGCTAGCTTTCCTGTAGTGAAGCTCCAGAGAAGGCAAATTTTGTAAAAGGCAGAGGAAAAGAAAAGATCACTCAGTGGAAAGGGTACATGTAACAAGGCCGGCCCCTCCTGTGCCCACGTTGCATTCCAAGAGTCAGAGTAAGACAGTGTGACAAAGTGGACCTGTCTGGATCATTATCTAATCATATTCAGATGTAGGGAGAGATAACTATCATGGAATTTAACCTGATGGACAAGTGTTTCTGTTGAAATATGGGAATTTTGAGAAAGAACATTTGGAGTGGGTTTTTTATGAGCTCTTGTCAGCTGAGGACTCACTGTGTCCCAGACGCTGTGGTAGCTCCGTTAGAGTGGGAGGTGACACGTCTGTTCAAGGCTTAGTAGTAGAGATGGTCTTGTCCTAATGGAGAGCTGGAGGTGATGCATGGTTCTATGTAGGAGAGAGTTTTAGAACACAGTTGGGCCAAGAGTATTAAGGGCCTCAGATGTAATGCTTAGGAATCTGGATTTTAACCTCTCAAGGCCTCTGGTTTTTTATCTAGCAGTTCCCTCGGTGACGGTCTTTTCAACCAAAGACTGTGTCTCCTTGGAGACATGCTATGGTTGCCACAATCAGAATAGCTTCTGAGCTGGGAACAGTGCTAAGTTTTCAAGGGCAGTGGTACACATAATAGTTTATGTTGAAGCTAGTCTGAAGTGCAAGGTGGTGGGCGATAAGACCATTTTCATTCTCTTCTCCCACTGCTGCCCAAGCTCTGTTCATCTCGTTTTGCCTCTACCCTATTTCTTTTCTCTGCAACTTCTTTTCTTCTCATCTCATGTGCCGCTGCAGTCTTGGGCATCTCTTTTCTCTTTTTCCCTCTTGTCTTTCTTTACTTCCCTGTTTTCCCTCCTATTCTGCGCTGCCTTTTCCAAGTCCCCTTTTCTCCATCTTTCATTACATGGAGCTATAGTTGAAGCAGTACTGCTTCCATATCTTACATCTTTATAGTGTACCATGAGGGAAACTTACAGAATCTTTTAGCAGTTTCCATGGAAGAAAAAGGAAGACCTTTTTCATAGAAGCCCCAGAAAACAAGACCATATATTTCACTGGCTTAAGTGACCATTCCTGAACCAATTAATGAGGACTGAAAGATATGCTGTTTGTCTTAAGCCGTTCTAGGTACCAGGGATTGGGTTCACTCCACCCAAACAATCTGACTGTAACGGGGGAAATGTGATTCCCCCAAAGAATGGTAAGGTTATTTTTTGGCCAGAGGCAGGGGAAATAGATGTTGGGGGCCAATCAACATTATATTAACAAT